TTGACCTACATGTACGGACGGAGGACCTGACTAGGAACATCGTCTAGTCCTTCAAATGAGATGATAAAAACAAGCTCCGTGACCGTGCACACTTAAAAAAAACCCATGAGAAATGGAATGCAATTGATTTCCGCTATTTCCCTAATAGCACCCTGCACACGAACATGAACACACCGTCTCCATTAGCCCAGTCGGAGCAGAAAAGTAGGATGTTAAAACCCATTTCATTTGTTCTTACTTAGAGCAAAGTGTAGCGTGTAGCCATGACTACCGCAGTTTAACTATCTGATGGAATTCAACAGTTTATCTCTCGATCACAATCTGATTAAAATATAGATCTATATTTCGTTTCGTTTTATTATACTTTTGATGGCCTACACTACATGAAGATCTGACAAGTTGTAGCGGGAGGTCACGTCAGGGGTCATACGAGCGGCTTTTGACCCCCATGATGTCAGTCACATGATTAACCAATCAGCGTTGATGTTTCTAGTCAGTTGCCCACAGTTTCATGCACCGCATGCCAAAAACTCGCCGTAACAGACTGTTTCATTGGCTAATCCCTCACATCATCCAGAACGTGGGTTATACACAATGTAACAATTCTTCCAGATTCTAGAAGAAATTTTGAACTGTGTTTTAATCAGATTGTTAAGATGAGGAAACAAATGTAATTAATTTTGATATCATACTCAAGATACATGTTAACACTGACTTGGATAGTTATAACACCAGGGCTTGCCACGAGCAAATTGGAGGCGAGTAGATGACTACTCACGCAAATATAGACTTGCTCGAGTGAGGCGAGTACATGTATTTACTTACGCAGAATGATGTGCGTAAAGCTTATACAGGTAAAAGAACAGGCAAAACAATTTCAATCCCATCAATTTGCTTAAAAGATGCGGGATCGAAAGAATTGCTATGGAAACGACAACATCCGCTCAATTTTTGATTATCCAGACATGGCAAAGGACATCCGCTTAAAAACCGCCTGGCAGTACGCGTCTCAAAGTATTTTTTTTTAACAACTGGTGGCACTGGAAAGACACGCCGCGTGCGCAACAGTGCATCAATATGAAGGCATACAAATTGTTTCCGCCTTTTTTTTTTTACGATATTCCATTATTTCTGATTAAATTATTTTTTATATTTGCGCGAGTACTTAATCACTCACGTAAATTTGGTTTTACGCGAGCGTAGTGTGCGCGCGAGTAATTACTCGCTTCTCGTGGCAAGCTCTGTAACACTGGCCTAGAGAGAGAGAGAGAGAGCTTAACTCCACTGAAACAACTAGACCTTTTTGGGACTAACATATGGATTAATTTTATTTCAAAAATTCTCTTGTACGTAGGGGAAGGAAACTGGAGGAACTGGGGCAAATCCCCGAGGTAGTACAAACTAGATCATTTCAGGACTAACACATGCTTCAATTTTATTTCAAAAATTCTATTGCATGTAGGGGTCTTTAGTAGTGGGAAAAAACTGGAGGACCAATAGAAAACCTACAAGGCTGGACAGGCGCTCATCCTACTCCTTGTTTGTCACGTACAAGTGGGGAATCAAAACCACGCCACTTGACTCAATGACAGATCTTACGACTTAACCCCCACCCCTTAGATCATTTGGCAACCGAACACCCCATCTATATTGATGCGATTCATCTTTTTAGCACTCAAGTTTCTTTTATTCAAAATATTCATAGATTCAGATAAATATCAGCAAAATTTTGTGCACAAGCGTGTAACTTTCATTATTCTTAAACTTAAGATGCAAGATTTAGATATAGGCCTAATAAAGAGTTGGTCGTTCATGCTATAATAGTTTAACCATATATCATGGAAAAGGAACATTGAAAATTTCAAATAACTTTATTCTGAGCGAAATTATGAATTTATGAGAGAGGTGGGATTTAAAGTCTACTCAACACAAACTAGGTCATTTTGGGACTAACATATGGTTCAATTTTATTTCAATAATTCGCTTGAGCTTAGGGATCTTTAGCAGTGGGGGTAATTGGAGGACCCGGAGAAAACCCACGAGATTGGACAGGCGACCCTACTCCTTGTCACGTACAACGGGGAATTGAAAACATACCACTTAACTCAATGACAGACCTTATGATACAGCGCGCACACGCAAACCATTTGGCCATCCAAGCCCCTATATAACATTTGAAGCCAGATAAAAGACATGGACGCTCGCATCTTTAATAATGTCCAGTAAAAATTTGTGATATTATTCAAATCTTATTTGACTATCTTTCATTAACAAACATGTTTTTCAATACTACCGTAGATGATGATTCATGCTGGATGTCACATGGTCTTATTTTATCTTTATAACTTATAATTATTGAGATACTTCAAACTTTAAAATATTATCTAGTACAGATGGACCTGTGGACAAGATAAATTACACAGACATTGCCACAAATAACCAACAAATATCAAATCAAGTGATATTAATATCACTTACAAGACAATGAATAAAATTAAATGAAATGGGGTTTAACATCTGCATCAATTGGGTTAATGGAGACAGGTGTATGTGTCATACAGCATGCTATGAGGGTAATTTTACCCGGACAGATTCTGCCTCATCCCCCTGATGTGTACAAGCCTGGACAGAAGGTACGTGGCACACTGTCCAGTACAAATTATTGCACAACATTTATATTATAATACATTGTGTTATAATTTAAGTTTGACAGAGTCTGTGACAGTTGGCTTACGTCCAGGCTTGTATGTGTAGGAACCAAATTTGACAAGATTGTTAAAATGACATACAACCACATACATGTAATCCAAGCTTTGGAAAATACATTTACGAAATTACGTGGGTGGGATGCTCTATATTTGTAACTATTGAATGTCTGAAAGGAAAGAGGTCAACTATTAGGTCACTGATGATATAAAACTGGAAGTCGTACACTTGTTTATTTTATTTGAAAGACGTCAACCATGAAAGACGAGTAAATAATATTGATCTATTATATAGCATGCACATCCGTAGTAAACTTGCCAGACAAACAATAGATAGGAAATGGGTTTCAGCATCAATTGGGCTAATGACGACGGTGGGGTACATATGTACGTGATGTAATGTACTGTCACAGAGTAGTCAGATTGACTGAATGTTCAGCGCTATAGAAAACGATTATTATTATTATTACTACAATAACAACATTCAATTCACAGATGCTGATTCAACATTTTTGTTGATAATATATAATAATAATAATATTTCATGGTTTTATTTATAATAAAATTAAATGGATTTAACGTCCAACTGTTCTGCTCCTACTGGGCTAATGAAGACCGGCATACGCCAAACAGTGTGCTAGGAGGGAGACTTTGCCTCGACAGCGGCGCTACGTACTACTCTTATATCGAATTCCAACTATCAAGGGATCTTTTACGTGCACGTTAATGTGTACACTGGAACTTGTTTTTCTGTCCAATCTGAATGACTATAAGTTGTCCCTTGTCAGGCAATCCGTCCTGCACTACGGACAAGGGGGAACCATGCCCGAAAATCGCAATGAAATTTCTCAGCCAATACCAGGATCGTAAATGATACCTCATGGTTAGCAAGCCAACATGTAACGCACTGAGCCAGGGCGGCTCCCACGTTAAATTGTACATGTACCATACTAAAACTGATTATCTAATGGCTCTAGGACAATTTGTCCCTGAACAATTCGTCCCCGGTCAACTCGACCCCGAGGACAATTCGTCCCTAGACAATTCGTATCAGGACTATTAGTCCCATAGGACTATTTGTCCCGTAGGACAGTTTGTCCCTGAACAAAAATATTGGTAGTTCCATTATCAAAAACTGAATTAATCTTTACTTTTTATCCTAAACCCCAGTTTTAATGCTCGTTTTACATCGTTTTACATTTAGTATTAAATCTAGGCCTTAACTTAGGGGAAAAGTTGCCCGGGGACAAATTGTCCCGCACTCTCATCTAACACCTGATTTAAAAACATCCTATCAATGGTAGATCATCTCCTGGTTTCAATTAAACAGAGGTCCATCAAAATACTAATAATACGGTGGCACTGGTTTGTTTATATCATCTGAAGTGGATGACGAATACTGACAAATTTTCATCTTCCCTTTTGAATGGGATTGAACCGTTTTTAGGCTGTTATCCCTTTTAGAGAAAGAGAGAGAGAGAGAGAGAGAGAGAGAGAGAGGAGAGGGTTTAACGTCCACTCGACACAAACTAGGTCAATTTGGGACTAACATATGGTTCAATTAAATTTCAATAATTCGCTTGCGCGTAGGTGTCTTTAGCAGTGGGAGGAAACTGGAGGACCAAGAGAAAACCCACCAGGTTGGACAGACGACCCTACTCCTTGTCATGTACAACTGGAGAATCAAAACCACGCCAGTTGACTCAATGACAGACCTTTTGATGCATCATGCACGCGTTAATCATCCAGCCATCCACCCCCCCTGGATATTCTTGTCATAATAAATGATAAATTTAATCAACCAAGTTTATAAGACAGAATGTTTTATAATACTAAATAAAGGTAGATAATTACCATACATGAATGAAGTAATTAATTGATTACATGGACCTTATTTAAAACAATAATAAATTAGCAGTTGTACGCAGCATATGGTTTTAATACACGGGTGGGTATCTTTAATAAACTGGTATAAATAATCTTACCCTAACCCTAACCCTACACTCGTGGGTATCTTTATTAATAATACATTGCGCAAGAGCTAAATCTGTCTATTGCAGGTCTTTCTTTAGGCATAAAATGTTACATGTATATAAACTATTACATTATCTTATTTTTGAGCTATTATAGCCCGAATGGTCAGCTGTTTATCTTACATAATGTGTCTTTAAGCAATATACACCTATATGTTATTAGCTGATATGTACGTTTGTTTGTTTGTGATTATTGCGTATTGTGTCTTGTCCAAAGATTTGTTTTGTGTAATCGTGTGTGGTACAGTCTTCCTTCACTTACCTCCATATATCACTAGTTTTTGAATATTTAGAGAACTTGATAACTTCTGGTGCCATCCATGCGTATGTCCCAGCTTGACTCATTCTCGTTGTTTTCTGTACTTCTCGAGCCAGACCAAAATCTGTGATCTTCAAAGTCTTCCTTGACAAATCACTATTTTCTATCGATTCCTTCAATAAAACTAAAAAAAAAAGAAATTATAATTAAGAGAGAGAGACAAATGGTGTTTAACATCCACAAGGTTGGACAGTCGACACTATTCCTTGTCACGTACAACAAGGGATTCGAAAACACCCCAGTTGACTCAATGACAGACCTTATGATACAGTGCGCACATGCTAACCATTCGGCCATCCAACCCCCCAAAATTATAATTAAGAATTAAATTTTTCATTTTTCTTTGAATTAAAAAACATATTCTTTTCATGTCTCAATAATATTAATAATAACCACGGACAGGGGAGTATTACTACTGGTGCATGGCAGGATATACTGTATTGTTGAATAATACACATGGACAGGGGCATATTACAACTGGTGCATGGCAGGATATACTGTATTGTTGAATAATACACATGGACAGGGGCATATTACAACTGGTGCTGGCAGGATATATTGTAGATCGATGTATCACATTTCACCTTCTCCCGGTTCCCGTATTGAATCGACACACTTTGAATTGATTATTTACGATTATTTTTTATGTTTTTTTATTTGCTTCAGTAACCAACATGTCATTCATGAATATCCACATCAAATATTACCCATACATGTAGGTACACAAACACTCTTAAATTTTTTTGGTCCTTATTTTCATCCATATGAATATTGTGATACAAGATACAATGTTATTTTATTTCTTTGACAAAAATTCTCGCCATCCTGTTTTTTCTTGGTAAATATTAACCTAGTTGTAAATCGTCGTAACTCCCATCTTAAAATCAGTACATTGGTTATCCATAGAAGCACGGACAACTTTCAAGATTCTAACATTGGTTTGTATGTGTCAACATGATCTCACCCAATCTTACCTCACGGATCTCATATCAACCAAATCGACCACTTCGCTCACAAAATAATCCCTCATTGGTTTGTCGCAAGCTAAACTGAAATCCTATGGGGATAAAGCCTCCAGTGCCTGTGGGCCGCGTTTGTGGAATAACTTACCATTGGAGATACAGAGTTCTCAAACATTAGCTCAGCTGTGTTCAAATTCAAACTCAAACCTCATTTATTTGATTGATAGTTATTATCATGATTAGTTATTATCTTCCATGCGCTTAAACAATGCAATATGGATGGAGTGAGAGCAATTACAAATGTACATTATTATTGTATCGTAGCACGAATCGCAATACGTAACGTATCGTGCTTGCAGTGACCAATACCCAGCACTAATTACTACATGTATACACTGTATGTACTCAACAAAACCACAAAAATTACATGGTGGCTACATTGGCCTTGAAAGTTCATCAGGATGTGGTTTCCCCTTGTCAGTGGTGCAGGACGGAGAACCTGACAAGGACAGCTGTCTAGTCCTTCGGATGGGGCAAAAAAATATGAGGTCCTGTGTATACATGTACATTGGCATACACATAAAAGATCCCTTTGCAGTTGGAATTCGATATATGAGTAGGCCATAGTGACGCTGCCCGGGCAAAATTTCCCTCATAGCACACTGTATGGTGTATGCCTATCTTCATTAGCCTAGTCGGAACGGAACAGAACAGTAGGACACTAAACCCTATATCATTTCATTTCATTCACAAAAGTTACATGCCTGGAAATAGCAATGTAGGTTGCCAGGCAATGAAACATGGCCACACATGCGTCGTTCGGGCAGTCAACAAGGGCTGTGGCATATTTTTCTTTTATCACTCAGTACACAATTAAATGAGAACATTTACAACACATTAAAATCTGATTACGAGTAACAACCCATTAAGTAATTATCAGAAAACATTAGAATTTGTTACGATTGTATGTCTCATGAAATTAAAGAGAGAGAGAGTCCACTTGACACAAACTAGGTCATTTCGGGACTAACATATGGTTCAATTTTATTTCAATAATTTGCTTGCGAGTAGGGGTCTTTAGCAGTGAGAGGAAACCGGAGGACCAGGAGAAAACCCACGAGGTTGGAGTAATGAAATTAAACACTGTGTATAAACCTCTAGCGTGTCAACAAGATTTCTCAAGTGATCAAGGGCCATAATTCTAGCAGTAATTATCAGAAACTCTTGAAAAGCAATAGGCATCTTGTCTCACGACCGTAAACATTGTGTATAAATTTGAAGTCAATCGAATATTAACTTTAGCTCTATAGTGTTAGATATACAAGATTAACCCTGGTTACAGTGTGTGGTTCCCCCATAGTTACATGTAAGACCAGTAAAACTTGACAACCGTTGATATATGGAACTAACACGTACAGTTTATCTAACCATACACTGTACATAAAGTCTCTTAAATCATTTAAATCAAATGAATCTATTTCTGAAAAAGGATTTACATGTAAATGTTTGTTGGACATGTGCTTACATACTGTATATTTCTAACTCTGTTTAACAGCCAAAAACACGGGCTTACATGTATTTCTAACTCTGTTTTAACAACCAAAAACAAACTGAAAATTATAACGGAAATATAATCCTATACTTTTTTCTCATCACAAAATCATAATCACACCTCGGCTCACCCAATTCATCACTTATTTTAGCCTAATAAAAATACAAACAGGTTCGTACAAGACTATTTACTTTGTATTCTTTTACTTTTATGTTTAATATTCTAAAATATGATAAAGAAGAATAGCATATACATGTAGAGTAGTGTGAAAGCTTTTATTGTTATTAGGATGACAATCTCATCTATCTATCTATGTCACTGGACAATCTCATCTATCTATCTTTGTCACTGGGTAATAAAACCAACATCCTCCTCCTTACTCGAAAATATAAACCCACAACAAGCTGGGATGGATCATTCACTTTCACACAGATCATCAGTGAATATTCGCTAGTCCACTACGATGACATTGATGCGATTTAATGAGCCCTAAATATTAACTTTTTTCCTTCTGCAAATTAAATTCTAGAACATTTTTTTTAAGCATCAGAAAAATAAATAAAGGTGTTTCAAGTATATGTAGGTAAAAAATATTTCCTATTTAGTGTAAATGGGTATGTTTCAAGTATATGTAGATAAAAATTATTTCCTATTTAGTGTAAATGGGTATGTTTCAAGTATATGTAGGTAAAAATTATTTCCTATTTAGTGTAAATGGGTATGTTTCAAGTATATGTAGGTAAAAATTATTTCCTATTTAGTGTAAATGGGTATGTTTCAAGTACATGTAGGTAAAAATTATTTCCTATTTAGTGTAAATGGGTATGTTTCAAGTACATGTAGGTAAAAATTATTTCCTATTTAGTGTAAATGGGTATGTTTCAAGTATATGTAGGTAAAAATTATTTCCTATTTAGTGTAAATAGTAATGTAAAATGAGTAAAAGGCACCATTCTGCCCGCACCAGTAGCGTCTTATGTAAACAGTGTACGCGCCATTAAGCCAATGATTGAAGGTGTGTGATGTGACGTCACATGATAAAGCAGTCATCTCTTAACAGATAGTCTTCGCAAAACCTCTGTTAAACAGATTGATGCACAGCACTTTATCTTGGAAGTAAAAAATATGTAGCATTTTAAAGTTAAGAGAGAGAGAGAGAGAGAGAGAGAGAGAGAGAGGGGGGAGGGATCATTTTGGGACTAACATATGGTTCAATTTTATTTCAATATTTCACTTGCGCATATAGGGGTCTTTAGCAGTGGAAGGAAACCGGAGGACCCAGAGAAAACCCACGATGGTTGGGCAGGCAAGCCTTCTCCTAAAAAAAACTAGGTCATTTTGGGACTAACATATGGTTCAATTTTATTTCATTAATTTGCTTGATTTGATGAATGACTGAAACTCTTAGACTTTGTTTATAAATTATTATCATGGTACATGTATTGGTACTTGATAATCAAGAATATGAACTGTCAATCAAACATTCATTTATAACTTCACCCAGAATACAGTAATATGACCGATATTTTCAATATTCATTCTTCATTCTTAATCCATTTCTAAACTACATGTATAGCAAGAATGGTCGGGTCTTTATCTAAATCTTACATAGGCTAATATAACTTTTATTCTGGTATTAAACTGGAGCTTTAACTTATACATTTTGATTTTGACCAAAATGTTGTTGTTGTTTATTACAAATTCAACGTCCAATACATTAAAATATGATATTATGGACAGGTTTAAGTAATCAGTTATTTACATATGAAGGTTTCATAAGAAACAAAATGGGCAAAAACATTTTAAAAAGTTTTTTTTTATCAAAATATCACTTTGCTTTTGTGATGAGATGACCAGTCATTTTTTTCCTTTGTCATAATAAAAGAAATTTAGGTTTGTTTAGTAATAATAACCTCTTTAAATTTAAAGATACGTTCCCACGTACAAATTGGGTGATTTGATGATGTAAACATATTCAAACGGATTATTCTATTAAACTTTTACTTCAAGTCCTTCTAAAAACACTGTTTTCACGACGGAATATCTCTACTATACAAAATCTATTAACAAAAGTCATGTTTGTGTCACGTGACTTAGCTGACGCACTACCTAGCAACGGGTGCGAAGCCGGAGAAGAATTCATTGCATACACAAGACGATGTTGTCTTTAAATTTAATCACTATCCATAAATCATAAATATCAAAGCCTAATTAAATTCTCGGATTATCCACTGCCCACGTCTTTTTCTGTATTTTTAATCTCAGAAAGTGTTGTACATTTAACCCTTCATCAAGTTTATCAACATATACATCAAGCGCTCAATCTTCGCATGCTACCTTTGACGTCACGCGAGCAGACATTCCTAATCGTCAGGCTGTCGATTAGGGAAACCTTTACATTTTTGTCCTGTATGCGCTCCATGAGTGTTTTTCGGGGAATCCAGTATTTTCTTAGTAAGATTGGATGTTTTTCGGGGAATCCAGTATTTTCTTAGTAAGATTGGATATTTCTACTTTCCATATTTACCAAAATTGTCATACTTTTATTGGAAATAACCACCCGATAAACACTTTTCTGGGAAAGTATCTTTAATCAAATCTTCCAAATTAAAGAGGTAGTGTGTTGTTAAATAATTAATGGGATGATATGGATTCCTGATAAATCAATCAGGAAGTGATCTGGACTCCTTTAAACAATTAACCAGAAGATAAACTAATTAATCAGGAGAAACAGGACAATTCCTATCCTACTGGTGTTTACATGTATCCTACTGGTGTTTACATGTATATCCTACTGGTGTTTACATGTATATCCTACTGGTGTTTACATGTATATCCTACTGGTGTTTACATGTATATCCTACTGGTGTCTATATGTATATCCTACTGGTGTTTATATGTATAAACAGGTTTATATGTATATATTACTGGTGTCTATATGTATATCCTACTGGTGTCTATATGTATATCCTACTGGTGTTTATATGTATATCCTACTGGTGTTTATATGTATATCCTACTGGTGTCTATATGTATATCCCACTGGTGTTTATATGTATATCCTACTGGTGTCTATATGTATATCCTACTGGTGTTTACATGTATATCCTACTGGTGTTTACATGTATATCCTACTAGTGTTTACATGTATATCCTACTGGTGTTTATATGTATATCCTACTGGTGTTTACATGTATATCCTACTGGTGTCTATATGTATATCCTACTGGTGTTTGTATGTATATCCTACTGGTGTCTATATGTATATCCTACTGGTGTTTATATGTATGTATATCCTACTGGTGTTTATATGTATACCCTACTAGTGTTTATATGTATATCCTACTGGTGTTTATATGTATATCCTACTGGTGTTTATATTTATATATATCCTACTGGTGTCTATATGTATATCCTACTGGTGTTTATATGTATATCCTACTGGTGTTTACATGTATATCCTACTGGTGTCTATATGTATATCCTACTGGTGTTTACATGTATATCCTACTGATGTTTATATGTATATCCTACTGGTGTCTATATGTATATCCTAATATATATCCTACTGGTGTTTATATGTATATCCTACTGGTGTTTATATGTATATCCTACTGGTGTTTACATGTATATCCTACTGGTGTCTATATGTATATCCTACTGGTGTTTACATGTATATCCTACTGGTGTCTATATGTATATCCTACTGGTGTCTATATATATATATATATATATATATATATATCCTACTGGTGTTTATATGTATATCCTACTGGTGTTTATATGGATATCCTACTGGTGACTATATATATATATATATATATATATCCTACTGGTGTTTATATGTATATCCTACTGGTGTTTACATGTATATCCTACTGGTGTTTACATGTATATCCTACTGGTGTTTATATGTATATCCTACTGGTGTTTATATCCTACTGGTGTTTACCCGTATACATGTATATCCTACTGGTGTTTACATGTATTTCAGAGCAGGCAACATCCTATTGTATAGACAGGCATATAGGACTGTTTAATTCCATTAGTTTGATTAGACCATCAGAAGCATAGACTACACGTACATGTATATGTATTATACGGTGTGTTTTGTACTAGATCTTGTACCTGACATTTTACATTTTGTGCTGTACAAAACATTAATAAAAGACATACCAGTACCAGACCAACTGACAGGTATAAAGTATTAGAGAGATTGTCTGGTGCTTCATTTCCAGACTGGCCAATTAACACACCTCAAGTTGTGTTTAATGTGCATATTTCAAGCTGTGGTATGTGCACCTGTATTTATTACAGGACCATATACTTATAGTACAACTAAAAGTTTGTAAACACGTAATTTAACTAATAAACATTGACCTTTATAGTTATTATATACATTACAAGGTGTTAAGACAGGTATAATTAATGGACTATCAATAGTCATAGTGTACCTGTACAGAAGAATATTGATGTACATATGTACTGAACTTCTAAATCTGAAATGAAATGGGTTTAACGTCCTACTGTTCTGCTCTGCTCCGACTGGGTTAATGAAGATGGGTATACGCCATACAGTGTACTATGAGGGAAATTATGCCCAGACAGCAGCTACGGCCTACTCTTATATCGAATTCCAACTGTCAAGGGTTCTTTTACATGTACGTGCATGCCAATGTGTACACGGGACCTCAGTGTTTTTTATCCCATCCGAATAACTATTCTAAAGCTGATATAACAATGATTTTACTAGTTGTTATAGCCTAAATGTACCAGACAAAATGACAGGCACTAATGAACTACAAGTAGGTTACTATAAATTTACCGGATATTTTTTTAATTTTGTGCTGGACATGTACATGTACATATTAAAGGTATCGATAAAAATTAAAAACACTGAAAAAATGACAATATCTGTGACTGGTGACCCATTTCCAGGTTTAACTAAAGTTCACTACCAACAGGCTTTTCTTAGTAGGCCTACTATTAGTATTCATTAACACATACATGTACTACTGTAGCCTACTCTAGGCCTACTATTAGTATAACATTAGTAGGCCTATTGCTATTCATTCATTAACATCACACATGTACTTAGTACTATTAGTATAACATTAACACCATAGTATGTAGCCTATATACTTAGTACTATTATTAACACCATAATATGTACTTAGTACAGGCTACTATTAGTATAACATTAATATAACATTAGTATTCATTCATTAACACCACACATACATGTACTTGGTAGGCTATATACTTACTATTACTAGATTTTAAATCTCGATGAACCAATGGCAATGGTGCCTCTTCATGTAGATAATGCATTCCCCTTGCTATCTGTATTGCCCAATCTACCAAAATATCCGGAGGTATTCGCTGTGCCCCTAAAATTCTATTCAGTGATCCACCTGCAGCGTATTCCATCACTAGACATAAGTCTGGCTCCTTGAGACAAACACCCACTAAATTTGATATATTGGGGTGATCTAGAAGCCAAAATAATTTTGCTTCTTGACGAATGTTCTCCAAAGCACTGCCTGGCTTCTCGGGATCAGAATCTTGTCGGGCGACTTTAATGGCCACAGTCTTTTTCCTCCACATTCCCCGATAAACCTTCCCGAAGCCACCCACACCAATCACTTCATTTAAGATTAATTCCTGAAAATCAATTTCAAATGGTCGTTTGGAATCGCTACTAGGAGGAAGAACATTAACGTCCTTTGTGACAAAGTTACTGGGGAAAATGCCGACTTTTGACCCCACGCTACCCGTCCACCATCCATCATTGCCTGATATGGACTCATCTGTGGATAGAATCCGCACCTCCTCACCCTGTTTTATCGTCAATTCATCCTCTTTCGTGGCAGCATAATCAAATACTGCCGTCCAAACTGGGGTTGTTTGAGGTGGTAACAATGACTGGGGCCGTTCCACCCTCTCATTGTTCCTGCGCCAGTTACTCAATCTATATGGATCCATCGATCCAATAAAATTTAATGTCTATACCATTCAATAAATAACAGTTTGTAGTGAAATATCCTTCGACTTCAATGACAGTCACAAAACTTTTCACACTTGTCATTGAAGAACTAGCCCTTTTATCCATTTACGGTTTTGACATCCAAATAAAAACGATTGACTTCTCTTTAAAAAAATATCCAGTTTTAGTCTGGCATTTTATGTCAGTGTATTACAAAAATATAAAATGTGCTTAGTGGTCAAAGTTTAATCGCTCCTTCTGCTTCACTAGCAGAATTTAACGTTGGAATATCTTTGTAAATTTCATTCACAATTGGGGCTTGTGTGTCCTCGTCCGCCATTTTTGTTTTCATTCTCATCGCTTTATCCAAAATTAGTCCAGCAATTTGGCCTCATTTACAGTCTTGATTCAGGCCGTTTATAATACATAAAACACTATAAATATATATCAAAATGTACTTTAAGTCTTGCGCAACTTTTTGACTACTTTAAAATATAATTGTTGGTTAAAAAAGGCGAATAAAATGCAAGCCATAAATACTGAAAACCATCAATTTTCCAATGATAATAGACTAAGTCTCGTGACTTCACGCGAGATTGGACGTGAATTGTAAAATGTAATCCAGAGTTGAAGAAACGAGAAGAGATGTAGCTTAAAAAACACGTCTTCGGGACTCAAATTAGGCTACGTAGAGGCATGGAAAGATAGCAGAATTTTGTATATTAATCCCACAGATGGGGTCTCATATTTTGGACATTCTGCGTCAAGGAATTTGGGCTTCCTTGACGGGGGGTTGGTTTTACGATCCCCATCAAGGCATATTTTGTAACACATTTCATCTCTATTTATGGATGTTTCTATTGGCCTTCCCTCTAATTATATATCTTGTAAGTTATCTATGATTATCAAGTATTATTTGTATCTTTTAGTCTTTGAATATCTCTGCTGAAAATTCTAATATGAATGAAAGAAATATAATTTTTATTTAGTTTCAAGTTCAAGGATATAAACAATTTAATATTAGAATAGTAGCCTAGGCCTATTATTGAATTGAATACTGAATGCATGTAGGGTCAACTGTAACTACTGTGTATGGTAATCGACTGATACGGACCAGATTCATGGCTGATTTAAACAATTATTAGTACGGGTAGGCCTATTGAAATTGAATAGGCCCACAGAATAGGGGCAACTGTAAATAGTAAATTTTTGTCATGTCATTCATCTGACCATCATAGCTATAGTATAAATGGGGGTTGGATGGCGGAATGGTTTGGACATGTGTGCTGTATCATAAGGTCTGTCATTGAGTCAACTGGCATGGTTTCGATTCCCCAGTTGTATGTGACAAGGAGTAGTGTCACCTGTCCTATCTCGTGAGTTTTTTCCAGGTCCTCTGGTTTCTTCCAACTGCTAAAGACTCATGCGCAATGGAATTATTACAATGAAATTGAATCATGCGTTAGTCCCAAAATGACCTAGTTTGTGTCAAGTGGATGTTAAACTCTCTCTCTCTCTCTCTTTCTCAATTAATATTCTATTTTGGTCTTCAAATGAAATCGGGGGGGGGGGGGGCGTTTGATGGCCGAATGGTTACGTGTGTGTGTAGGGGGATTGGATGGCCGAATGGTTACCTGTGCACGTTGTATCAGAAGGTCTGTCATAGAGTCAAGTGACAAGGTTTTGATTCCCCGGTTGTGTGTTACAAGGAGTAGGGCTGACCGGTAAACCCTGTGGGTCCCCCCCCCCTCCGTCAGTCTTCTCAAATAATAAATAATCAATCTGATAACATGTTGGGTATCACGGTGGCTGAGTGGGTAAGACGCTATCTCGCTAGTCTGGAGGTCGGGTGTTCAATCCCTGCATTGGCCGAGAAAGTTCATCCAGATTTTCCGACATGGTTCCCCCTTGTCAGTGATGCAGGACGTAGTAGGGTCTGACAAGGACAACTTTCTAGTCGTTCGGATAGGACAAAAAAACGAGATCCCGTGTACACATTGGCATGCACGTAAAAGATCCCTTGACAGTTGGAATTCGATATAACAGTAGGCCGTAGTGACGCTGTTCGAGCAAAATTTCCCTGATAGCACACTGTATGGCGTATGCCCGTCTTCATTAGCCCAGTTCAGAGCAGAACAGTAGGACGTTAAACCCCATTTAATTTCATTTCATTTTGATAACATGTTAGTATGGATTAAGCCGTTGAATATTTGATATTGTCCGCAAATCTCAGCGACTTTAAATAACTAAACCAGGAATTTTAATCGGCAGTTTTTTGTCAGCTTTAGCCTCTCGAAGTTCAATCAAACTGATTGGTAAAACAATGAACTGGTCTGTATGGCATAATAAATCAATTCAGCCGAATTACAAAGGGTTAATTATTATTTGTCGATTAAGAAACCCATTAAATAGTCATATCTTCTACATGTACGGTACAGTCACTGGTACTTATCGCTTAAGGCAGTTCAATAGTGTCGAGTGCCTTGACCTTGGCACTTCTGTATTCTAAATCTTGAAAGAATTCAAGTCGTAGGTTGATTCAGGATCGAGTACATGTTGTACCTTGTTTTCATAGCGTTAGTTCATGAGAGCCAAGCATTTTGTTTAATCCTATTTATTGTTGCTATAGTAACAATCTACCTAGTTATTAGATTTGGTGTATATTTTGTATTTTTATATTGATTCATGTTTTTATTATCCTGCGGCAAATAAAGTTACATTAGGGACTCTAAAATAGATTTCGTTCGTTTTTGTTTCGGAATCACAAACCGATCGCAAAATATCTTTATGAAACTTTGTACAAACTTCTGTCTGTTATAATAGTTGCGTCTTTTGCTCATTTTGAATTTCTCGGATTTAATCATTTTTATACGCGCACATTGAAATGTGGACGTATATTGCCGTCGCCCCCGTCCGTCGGTGGGTCCGCCCGTCCGTCCGTCCGTCCGTTCATCGTCCACAATTTCTTGTGAACGCTCTAACGCCAAAAGTTATCATCCAATTGTTTTAAAATTGATATATGTTGTTTACATTAGTGAGATGAAGAAGCCTATTTAATTTCAATAATTTCTGTTTATTATGTCTAGAGTTATGGCCCTTGTTTCACTTTATTGAACCTTGTGAATGCTCTAACGCCAAAAGTTATCATCCGATCTTTCTGAAATTTATATGCATTATTTAGATTACTGAAACCAAGAAGCCTATTGAATGTCAGCAATTTCCGTTTATTACGTCTAGAGTTATGGCCCTTGTTTCACTTTATTGATCCTTGTGAACGCTCTAACGTCAAAAGTTATCACCCAATCTTTGTGAAATTTATTTGCATTATTTAGATTACTGAAACAAAGAAGCCTATTGAATTTCAGCAATTTCCGTTAATTACGTCTAGAGTTATGGTCCTTGTTTCACTTTATTGATCCTTGTGAACGCTCTAACGTCAAAAGTTATCATTCGATCTTTCTGAAAATTATATGCATTATTTAAATTAGTGAGACGAAAAAGCCTATTGAATTTCAGCAATTTCCGTCAATTACGTCTAGAGTTATGGCCCTTGTTTCACTTTATTGAACCTTGTTAATGCTCCATCACCAAAAGTTATCACCGAATCTTTGTGAAATGTATATGCATTATTTAGATTAGTGAAACGAAAAAGCCTATTGAATTTCAGCAATTTCCGTTTATTACGTCTAGAGTTATGGCCCTTGTTTCACTTTATTGATCCTTGTGAACGCTCTAAGGCCAAAAGTTATCACCCAATCTTTGTGAAATTTATATGCATGATTTAAATTAGTGAAACGAAAAAGCCTATTGAATTTCAGCAATTTACAATAATTACTTCTAGAGTTATTGCCCTTGTTTCATTTTGTTAAACATTGTTAATGCTCGATTGATGAAAGTTATCATCCGATATGTATGAAATTTATATGCATTATTTCAATTAGTAAAACGAAAAAGCCTGTCAAATTTCAACAATTTCTGTAGATTACTTCCAGAGTTGAGACCCTTGTTTCAGTTTGTAGAACCTTGTAAACCCTCAAAACGACAAAATTTATAATCCGATTTGTATGGAATTGTCTTGTAAAGACCCCCAATTACCTACAAAGGAATGAATATTCGACAACCCTTGTCGACCGCTCGGACGATTTAGCTGCTGTGGGCGTATGTTTTGTTGCCTGACAACCTATCTTTGTGTTTCCATGGAAACAAATTTGATTTAGTTTTTGATATACAGGGGTGCAGGATGTTATTATTTAGCGTATTGGTTATGGTATATTGATGTGTATTATGTAAAAATATAAGTTCTATTCTTAAAGATGCTTTATGTCAGGGGGAATTGGATGGCCGAAGGGTTAGCACGTGCGCGATGTATCATAAGGTCTGTCATTGAGTCAACTGGCGTGGTTTCAGTTCCCCGGTTTGTTTGTCACAAGGAGTAGGGTCGCCTGTCCAACCTCGTGGGTTTTCTACGGGTCCTCCAGTTTCCTCCAACTGTTAAAGACCCCTACGCACAAGTGAATTATTGAAAATAATGTGTTAGTCCCGAAATGACCTAGTTTGTGTTGAGTGGACGTTAAACCCCATCTCTCTCTCTGTCTCTCTCTCTCTCTCCCCCTCTCTCTCTCTCTCTCTCTCTCTCCCTCCGCTTTAGTAAGAGGTAAATCAGCGAGGTAAATCAGCGGATTGTTAACTTGCAAAAATGTTGAGGACACGGATTAATTATTTCATAACTTGAAGCTTTATGTTGATTTGTGAAGATTTTTACTATTTTGTTTGGTTTGATTTTTCAGACATTGGAACCGACTGTAGGCATATGGGCGATATATTGTGGTGTTTTAGCTGTTTTATTCTCAGTGTTAAAGTTCATCAACTTTCACCTTCATCATATGTACGATACAGGGGAGGTAATCGAAGACGATGTGAAATCAGAAACACCGGCTAGTAAAGGTGGATCAACCGAGAACACCAATAAAACTATAGAAATTTGGTATGTTAAAACTACTCTCATTTTTAGTGAAGTTCTAATTGTCCGACATCAATTCAGTTATTGGTGAATCAAATAATATTATGTTCTATTCAATTCGATTCAATTCAGATACCGGTAAACAAACATTTGGTGCATTTTTGGTGCATCAGTGATTTAGAATGAAGGGTCTGACAAGTAACAATCTCTATGCATTCGGATGGGATGAAAAACCATGGTCCCATATACACATTGGCATGCACGTACAAGAAACCGTCTACATTTAGAATTCAGAATAATGAGTAGACTGTAGTGCCACTTTGCAGGCAAAATGTCCCTCGTAGCGTAACACATGGCGTATGTCTTGTCTTCATTTCATCCAGTTGGTGCCGAAAAGTAGGACGTTAAGCCCCTAGTAGTATCCTTTAACTATGAGATCAGAGAGCCTGACAAGGACAGCTGTCTAGTTGTTCGGATGAGACAAAAAAACAAGGCCCCGTATACACATTGGCGTGCACATAAAAGTTCCCTTGGCAGTTGGAATTCAATATATCCTTTAACTTTGAGATCAGAGGGCCTGACAAGAACAGCTGTCTAGTTGTTCGGATGGGACAAAAAAAAACAAGGCCCCGTGTACACATTGGCGTGCACATAAAAGATTCCTTGGCAGTTGAAATTCTATATAAGAGTAGCCCATAACGTGAACTTTCCAGGCAAAATTTCCTAGATACATGCACATGTAGCACACTGTATGGCGTATGCCCGTCTTTATTAGTCCAGTCGTTGCAAAACCACATTTCATTTCATTTAATTATTTTTCTTATTATTAATGAAATTTTAATTTATTATAGCAATGAAAATGAAGTCCCTGAAAATATTGAAATGGTTTCAATCAGTCGTGCAAGGGAGACAACCCCAGCAGAGACTGAATCTAAATTGGAGATTATTTCAGAGACAGAAACACACAACACTTCTGAATCAAAACCTTTAAAGGGTAAGGACAAAAATATGTTTCTTTCCATTATTGAAACTAACTTCATTACATTTTATATTTAAACCAATCTGATTATAACACAGATCCTATTTCGTTTTGTTTTTTTATAGTTCAAATTTCGTTTTACTTGTTTTTACTACACTAGGATCTGGAAGAGTTGTTATATAACCCGCATGTGAAGGATTAGCAAGTTTTTGGAGTAAGGTGTTAAAATGGCGTGAATAATAATATACCGGTACCACCCGAGTAACTCATTATACCATGAGTAATAATATACCACCTGAGTAACTCATTATACTATGAGTAATAATATACCACCTGAGTAACTCATTATACTATGAGTAATAATATACCACCTGAGTAACTCATTATACTATGAGTAATAATATACCACCCGAGTAACTCATTATACTATGAGTAATGATATACCACCCGAGTAACTCATTATACCACGAGTAATAATATACCACCTGAGTAACTCGTTATACTATGAGTAATACAGTCTATAACAAAAGTTCCCAGCATACTGTCACTTGCATATTGTATCCACAACATATCATATATCGTTCTCATCCGTTCGTGTGTTCCTACAATCAGTCAACGAATTCACTCAAATTGGCCAAATTATGCAGATTGGTCGATGACGTCATGATTGTGTTGTGACGTCATCAACCATGACGTCGTAGTATGAAATGCCAACGGCATATACAAAGTTTCATTCCGCTAGGACAACGAGCTCTTCAAATTCTTCGATCGAATCAAAATTGTCAAAATTAAGGCAATTTCATCAGGTGTCCCTAAACTTTTGTTATAGACTGTAATATAGTACCCGAGTAACTCATTATACTGTGAGTGAAAATTTGTATATTTTAGTAAAACAGTGGGATACAGGAATAGCACCATTGGCTGTTATAGAAGATGATTTGACTGGTGAAAGTCCTGGTGGTAAAAATTCTACGGGTAGTACAACAAGTAGTGTAGACGGTATGTATAAAAAAACCTAGAAGCTGCAGTGACTCACTGTGTAAGGCGGTGGGTCACTAGCCACGGTTTCATAAAACATTCTCAGACTTTAATTAACAATTTATTCAACTTTCAATCACTGTTTATGAGAAATATCTTTGATCCAGAAACACAAAATTTTGCACATAGTTTCTTATTGATGTATTTGATACATTAAAACAACAAAAGTTTTATAAAAAGCTATATTTTAGTTAACATAAGACAAACAATTTTGAGTAAATTCTTAGCTTGAGTCTGAGAATGCTTTGTGAAACCAGGGCCAGGTCGAAAAAGTTCCCCTGGATTTCCCCTTGTCACCCGTGCAGGACAGAGGGGCTGGCAAGGACAGTGTCTAGTCGAATTTGATATAAGAGTAGGTTGTAGCGCTGCTGTCCCTCAGAGCCCATTGTATGGTGTGTGTCTGTCTTCATTAGCCCAGTCGATGCAGAGAAGTAGGATGTTAAAACCTTATTTCATTTCGTGGAGTTGGATGGCTGTATGGTTAGCGAGTGCACGTTGTATCATAAAGTCTGTCATTGAGTCGACTGGTGTGGTTTCGAATCCCCGGTTGTACGTGACAAGGAGTAGGGTCGCCTGTCCAACCTCGTGGGTTTTCTCCGGGTCCTCCGGTTTCTTCCCACTGCTAAAGACCCCTACGCGCAAGCGAATTATTGAAATAAAAAATTAAACCACATGTTAGTCCCGAAATGACCTAGTTTGTGTCGAGTGGACGAGTGGACGTTAAACCCCATTTCTCTCTCTCTCTCTCTCTTTATTTCATTTCGTGGAGTTGGATGGCTGTATGGTTAGCGAGTGCACGTTGTATCATAAGGTCTGTCATTGAGTCAACTGGCGTGGTTTCGATTCCCCGGTTGTACGTGACTGACAAGGAGTAGGGTCGTCTGTCCAACCTGGTGGGTTTTCTCTGGGCCCCACGATTTCCTCCCACTGCTAAAGACCCCTACGCGCAAGTGAATTATTGAAATAAAATTGAATCATGTGTTTCTCTCTCTTTTTCTCTGTATTAAATATATCATTGTCTTTGCAGAATCAAATCCCAACTCCTCCAAAAATTTAAGGTCAGAAGTTCCTCATCCAATAACGACGCAAGTTGAAGTTGAAATTAATCCCCAGATACCAAAAGATACACAGAACGAGACAAAGAGATTACGAGAGGAAAGTGATTCCGACCTCTCTCCCGATTATCTTCCCAAATTACGTCTGAGACGTGAAAGAAGGGCTGTGCGAAGATCAAAAAGTGCTTTGGAGCCGTGTACAGTGGCTCACATACCGATAGACAATAAACCAGCGTCCCGGATGTCATTACCTCCCTTGAATAGAGTTGCTGTGTCTGTTGTTCAGAAGAGTCCGGTTGATAATCAAAACATTTCACCCAAAAGTAAAAATAAGAAAGAAAAAGTGGTAAAACGATTTGAACACGACGGCGTCATACGATTACGAAATCGGACACAAAGTTCGAAATCTGTTGACGCCATAAAACCACGTACAGGAAAGGGGAAACAGGATGGATGGACAGATCAAAGTTCACGAACAACATCGGCGAGTAATAGTCCTCATGTTTCACGACCAGGATCGTTGATTTTATCCGTGGATGGAAACAAGTTTATTTCCCATTCGTCATCCCATTCCAGTATAAGTGATTCGTCGGAGTTGAGTGTCGGAGAAGTCATGTTCCGCAGTCAGAAATCACGTTCTCGTCCGGGCAGTGGAGGAACAACCAGCTCCGGACAAACATTGACGGAGAATATGGTGGCTGGTAAAAAAGTTCGGAACAAGGAAATCATGGGACTTTTTAAAGTATCGCGGTATCTACAAGATGAGCGTAAGAGGGAGTCGGGTGTTCCAGGGGGCAGTACAGGAGGTGGGTCAGATAACGATATAACTGAACCTGGGAGTAATACAGGTATCTAATACATCACAAACATAATTCTAAGGTCAAAGGGCAAGTTGAGTCGCAGAGAATCTTGTTCCATGATTTAAAATCATGGGATGATCTGTCTTCATTAAGTGGTTGGGTGACTAAATTGTTAGCGCATGTGCGTTGTCATTGAGTCAGCTGGTGTGGTATTGATTCCCTAGTTGTATGCGACAAGGAATAGGGTCGTCTGTCCAACCTTGTGGGTTTTCTCCGGTTTCTCCAGTTTCCTCCCACTGCTAAAGAACCCTACTCGCAAGCCAATTATTGAACTAAGATTGAACCGTATGTTGGTCCCAAAATGACCTAGTCTGTTTCGAGTGGACGTTAAACCACATTTCTTTCCCTCTCTCTGCCTTCATGAGCCCTGTCTGTGCAGAATAGTAGGATGCTAAACCCCATTAAATTTCATTTTAATTGATATGCCCCCATAATTAGGGAAAGAAACATATTCCTAAGGACAAAGGGCAGATTGGGCCCCACTGAAGCTTGCCCGATTGGTTAGCGCATGCGCGGGGTATCATAAGGTCTGCCATTGAGTCAGCTGTCCTGATTTAGATTCCCCAGTTGTACGTGCTAAATAGTAGGGTTGCTTGTCGAGCTTTGTGGGTTTTCTCCAGGTCCTCCGTGTTTCCTCCCACTGCTAAAGACCCCTACACGCAAGTAAATTATTGAAATAAAATTGAACCATATATTAGTCCCAAAGTGACCTAGTTTGTGTCGAGTGGTCGTTAAACCCCATTTCTCTCTCTTGCAAATATCAACAAATATCAACAAATATTACATTTTATTCTCTTTTCTTCAGGTGATGGCAAGTCGTCAGATTTTTCAGAGAGTACAATTAGCAATGACGGAAGTTCGTTTGATCTCGATTCCGATGAGCAACCCACAGAAATCCTACCAGCACCTATATCCGATTATACAACCACACCCAGTAGTCCCAGTACAGATGATCTACAGACGTTACGTAATCAGGGAGCTATCCCTAAATGTTATCCTAAAAAACCTGTTATAGAACCACTACCACAACCCTTTCCTGTTGTATCAGGTAAATCAACAATCTTATTAGAATACAGATCTATATTTCGTTTCATTTTTTTTATACTTTCGATGGCCTACACTACATGAAGATCTGACAAGTTATAGTGGGAGGTCGCGTCAGAGGTCATACATGCGGCTGTTAACCCTATGTCAGGCATTTGATTAACCAATCAGTGTTGAAGTTTCTAATGGGTTACCCACAGTTTCGTGCAACTTACGCCAAAAACTTGCCATAACATACCGTTTCATTGGCTAATTCCTCACATCATCTAGAACGTGGGTTATATAACAACTCTTCCAGATCCTAGTGTAGTAAAGACAAGTAAAACGGAAATTTTGAACTCTTAAAAAACGAAACGAAATAGGATCTGTATTTTAGTAACTGGAAAACAGCTATTGATTTATTTAGGTGACGTTCTTCCATGTGTTAATGGGGGGGTGGATGGCTGAATGGTTAGCATGCGTGCGCTGTATCATAAAGTCTGTCATTGAGTCGACTGGCGTGGTTTCGAATGCCCAGTTGTACGTGACAAGGAGTAGCGTCGCCTGTCTAACCTCGTGGGTTTTCTCTGGGTCCTCCGGTTTCCTCCCACTGCTAAAGACCCAAACATACAAGCGAATTATTGAAATAAAATTAAACCACATGTTAGTCCTGAAATGACCTAGTTGTGTCGAGTGGACGTTAAACCCCATCTCTCTCTCTCTCTCCATGTGTTAAAGTTTATAGGTATTGGTTTCTATCATTGTGTTGGCAGAGGAAGTTTTTCAGGATATTCCAGTGTGGTTTCCTCACGGAATTGGTGTGGGAAGGGATAGTATCTAGACATTCGGATGGGAAGAAAAATCGTACACTTGTAATAGAGCTACTTGACATCTTGATCGCTGAGCCTAGTATCCAGTCATTCGGATAGGAAGAAAAAACAGGCACTTGTAATTGAGCTGGCCAGCACCTTGATCACTGAGTCAGCTCGGCTCCAAAACAGAACTGAGTGTTGGTATAATATTAATTAGTGTGTTGTGTATTAAACTGAGTGTTGGTATAATATTAATTAGTGTGTTGTGTATTAAACTGAGTGTTGGTATAATATTAATTAGTGTGTTGTGTATTAAACTGAGTGTTGGTATAATATTAATTAGAGCGCTGTGTATTAAACTGAGAAATTATTATTTTAACTTGTAGGTAATACGCAATCCACAAGTCCTGGTTCAACGGATTACTCCGATCCGGAGACAATTAGTCGGAAAATTATAGAAATACTACGAGATCCAAATGAACATTCAGAAGAATTGAAGAGATTGCAGGAATTTGTTAAACTTAAAAGTAGGTTACAATTTTAAATACATCGTCCGATTTCAAGTGGCTGTGGTGATGGCGTGTGGCTAGGACAATGGACTGGACTTGAAACCAGAATTTAGGCAGGCGGGTGCTGTATCAGAAGGTCTGCCATTGAGTCAACTGGTGTGGTTTCCTGTCAGGGATTACGCCCAGGGAGTATTTGGATGAGATGAAAACCTTCCTCTTAACATTGTACAAATAACAAAGAAATTTTTTTGTTACCATATGTTTATGTATAATACAACCTGGCTAAGGTGTTGACCATACATTAAGCTACATTCCTTTCTTCTCAATAAAAGTCTTTGTAAATTTGCTGAAGTGTTGATAAATTAATACAGAATAATTTATTTATAGAGACACAGTCTAATACAGAAGATTCTCCTAAAGAAAAACCTGTGAAAGAAGAAAGACGTCGGCGTTCAGGTAATTTCTTACTAGTCGTCATATTGAATCGTGATTTTACCATTTGAATATTCCGTGCCCGTTGTATCATATTGAATGAGGATTTTGTAATTTGAATATTCTATGTCATTATTCATATGGGGAGCCACGATGGCTCGGTGAGTAACACTTTGGCTGGCTAACCTAGAGATTAGATAAAAAGAGTTGACTGTTCTCGCTATAATAGTTAAAAAAATAGATAACGTAATTAGAATATGTTGAAAATTTCAGTCAAATTGCTCCACTCTGAACAGAGATATTAGCTTTTAATTTTAAGCCTAGCCTCGATCATCATTAGTAAAGTCGGTATGATAAAAAACATAGTCTCGATTGTCCATTTTGGATTTAATCATCAATGAGCGTTGAGCAGCAGATTGGATTCAAATCCAGTGAAATTCCGACATATAATATGACATTGAGGGTTGATTATGGTCTGGATAAGTTAATTAATGTCTAACTAATAATTTTATAACATTTAAGACCTAAAGATAGGCTGATTTACCTCTTGCATAATGTATGTTTAACATGCAATCTTTTGTTTTGTAGAATCTAATGCTGTTGGAAAAGTTGGTCCGACCCCAGAATCTTTAAACAAGGAGAAGCAGGATGAAGGTGGGGCTGTGGGTGGGGCCGTCAACCCACCAGGTGAACATGAAGAATCTAAATCAACCACACCCACTGAATTCTCAGCGTTATTACCACCTGTTGATGAGAAAACTAGTGACTCAACACCTGGTTGGCAAGGTGCTAGGTAAGAATGATAATAATCAAATAACTTCTCATACGAGACTTACACTGTCAAGAATGATTAAGTTGAACTACAGAAAATCTATTATTGTTATGATTGAGTTTTCCTTGGGATTGTAGAAATAAAAGTTGGATATTTTACAGTTTATTTATCTTTATCAACTAGTTTAATTCACAAACCTTAAAAAATCAGCAGTGAAAGGGCACTGACTATAGTCCAGGACTAGTACATGTTCCTGAAGCAACGACTGCGAGTTTTATTACATCTGGACGTTGCTAGATTACTTCAAAATTCCCGAACTTATAGCTACGTTATCTACAGACACGTGAACAGAAGCATCCAATCAGAGGTTGTGACATGGCGACCTCCACGGAAGCCTTGACATTGAACGAACCTTGAACTTTTCATCTCGATTATCACAGGTAGACATTTTAGCTTAAAAGCACGAGGCTTGGTATTCGGGACGACCGAGGAATCTGATCGCTCACAAGCTGGACTTGTACCCATTTGAAATTAGTGCTGAAATATGCAGGGTATTATGCGAAGGGTTTTATAAGATGTACGTAGTTTTTTTTAAAGCGAGATCAAACCTTCTATTGAAAATGGGACTAGTACAGCTAAATAGGTCACTAGTTCGTAAGGTATTTTTGGTAGCCATGGGCGTCAGTCTATTGAAAATGGGACTAGTACAGCTAAATAGTTCACTAGCCCGTAAGTTATTTTTGGTAGCCATGGGTGCCGGTCTAGTGGATTTTTATGACCCTGGATTTATGTAATATTGCTGCTTTAGACCATGAAGTATGTATCAAAAGAATATTCTGTGAGGAAGGCATGGTGGCTCAGTGAGTAAGACACTGGCTTGATAGTCTGGAGGTCTCGGATTTGCTCCCAGTGAGTAATACGCTGGCTTGGTAGTCTGGACGTATCCGGTTCGCTCCCAGTGAGTAAGACGCTGGCTTGGTAGTCTGGAAGTCTCGAGTTCGCTCCCAGTGAGTAAGACGCTGGCTTGGTAGTCTGGAAGTCTCGAGTTCACTCCCAGTGAGTAAGACGCTGGTAGTCTGGAGGTCTCGGGTTCGCTCCCAGTGAGTAATACGCTGTCTTGGTAGTCTGGAGGTCTCCGGTTCACTCCCAGTGAGTAATACACTGGCTTGGTAGTCTGGAGGTCTTCGGTTCGCTTCCTGTGAGTAATACGTTGGCTTGGTAGTCTGGAGGCCTCGGGTTCGCTCCCAGTGAGTAATACGCTGGCTTGGTAGTCTGGAGGTCTCTGGTTCGCTCCCAGTGAGTAATACGCTGGCTTGGTAGTCTGGAGGTCTCCGGTTGCGCTCCCAGTGAGTAATACGCTGGTAGTCTGGAGGTCTCGGGTTCGCTCCCAGTGAGTAATATGCTGTCTTGGTAGTCTGGAGGTCTCCGGTTCGCTCCCAGTGAGTAATACGCTGGTAGTCTGGAGGTCTCGGGTTAGCTCCCAGTGAGTAATACGCTGTCTTGGTAGTCTGGAGGTCTTCGGTTCGCTTCCTGTGAGTAATACGCTGGTAGTCTGGAGGTCTCGGGTTCGCTCCCAGTGAGTAATACGCTGGCTTGGTAGTCTGGAGGTCTCCGGTTCGCTCCCAGTGAGTAATACGCTGTCTCGGTAGTCTGGAGGTCTCCGGTTCGCTCCCAGTGAGTAATATGCTGGCTTGGTAGTCTGGAGGTCTCCGGTTCGCTCCCAGTGAGTAATACGCTGGCTTGGTAGTCTGGAGGTCTCTGGTTCGCTCCCAGTGAGTAATACGCTGGCTTGGTAGTCTGGAGGTCTCCGGTTCGCTCCCAGTGAGTAATACGCTGGTAGTCTGGAGGTCTCGGGTTCGCTCCCAGTGAGTAATATGCTGTCTTGGTAGTCTGGAGGTCTCCGGTTCGCTCCCAGTGAGTAATACGCTGGTAATCTGGAGGTCTCGGGTTCGCTCCCAGTGAGTAATACGCTGTCTTGGTAGTCTGGAGGTCTTCGGTTCGCTTCCTGTGAGTAATACGCTGGTAGTCTGGAGGTCTCGGGTTCGCTCCCAGTGAGTAATACGCTGGCTTGGTAGTCTGGAGGTCTCCGGTTCGCTCCCAGTGAGTAATACGCTGTCTCGGTAGTCTGGAGGTCTCCGGTTCGCTCCCAGTGAGTAATATGCTGGCTTGGTAGTCTGGAGGTCTCCGGTTCGCTCCCAGTGAGTAATACGCTGGCTTAGTAGTCTGGAGGTCTCGGGTTCGCTCCCAGTGAGTAATACGCTGTCTTGGTAGTCTGGAGGTCTTCGGTTCGCTCCCAGTGAGTAATACGCTGGCTTGGTAGTCTGGAGGTCTCCGGTTCGCTCCCAGTGAGTAATACGCTGGCTTGGTAGTCTGGAGGTCTCCGGTTCGCTCCCAGTGAGTAATACGCTGGCTTGGTAGTCTGGAGGTCTCCGGTTCGCTTCCTGTGAGTAATACGCTGGTAGTCTGGAGGTCTCCGGTTCGCTCCCAGTGAGTAATACGCTGGCTTGGTAGTCTGGAGGTCTCGGGTTCGCTCCCAGTGAGTAATACGCTGTCTTGGTAGTCTGGAGGTCTTCGGTTCGCTCCCAGTGAGTAATACGCTGGCTTGATAGTCTGGAGGTCTCCGGTTCGCTCCCAGTGAGTAATACGCTGTCTTGGTAGTCTGGAGGTCTTCGGTTCGCTCCTAGTGAGTAATACGCTGGCTTAGTAGTCTGGAGGTCTCCGGTTCGCTCCCAGTGAGTAATACGCTGTCTTGGTAGTCTGGAGGTCTCCGGTTCGCTCCCAGTGAGTAATACGCTGGCTTGGTAGTCTGGAGGTCTCCGGTTCGCTCCCAGTGAGTAATACGCTGGCTTGGTAGTCTGGAGGTCTCCGGTTCGCTTCCTGTGAGTAATACGCTGGTAGTCTGGAGGTCTCCGGTTCGCTCACAGTGAGTAATACGCTGGCTTGGTAGTCTGGAGGTCTCCGGTTCGCTCCCAGTGAGTAATACGCTGTCTTGGTAGTCTGGAGGTCTTCGGTTCGCTCCCAGTGAGTAATACGCTGGCTTGATAGTCTGGAGGCCTCGGGTTCCCTCCCAGTGAGGAAGACGCTGGCTTGGTAGTTTGGAGGTCTCAGGTTCGCACCCAGTGTTGGCAGAGAAAAATTCTCTGGATTTTGTCAGTGGAGGAGGACGGAGATCATGACATGAAGTGCTGTCGAGTTATTCCTAAGGGACAAAAAACCAAAGTCCTGTGTACACATTGGTTGACATGTAAATGAATCCTTGACGATTGGAATTCAATATCGTATTGCATATGTTCTGTGAGAAATATCGCAATATTTCATGTTACAAATTACCCAATTTTTATATTAATAGGAGACGGAGAAATCGACGTCTAGCACAGCGACGAAGAAGAGAATCCCCGCCTATAGCAGCATTAACTACACAAGTTATCGGAACCGGTGGCCATTTTGCTACATCACATGAAGATACGACTGATGGTGCTCTACATTATTTCCAGGATGAAAAAGGTGATACAACCATATGTTAGTCTCGAAATTATACAACCATATGTTAGTCTCGAAATGATACAACCATATGTTAGTCTTGAAATGATAAAAACCATATGTTAGTCTCAAAATGATACAACCATATGTTAGTCTCAAAATGATACAACCATATGTTAGTCTCGAAATGATAAAAACCATATGTTAGTCTCAAAATGATACAACCATATGTTAGTCTCAAAATGATAAAAACCATATGTTAGTCTCAAAATGATACAACCATATGTTAGTCTCGAAATGATAAAAACCATATGTTAGTCTCGAAATGACAAAAACCATATGTTAGCCTCGAAATGATAAAAAACATATGTTTAGTCTCAAAATGAGATTAAACTCCATTACATTACATGAAAAAGGTGAAATTTTCACAGTTCAGTGAAACAAATACAACCATATGTTAGTCTCAAAATAATAGAAGTATGATGCTGACCATGACCATAACCATGAACATTCAAATTACCACATATTTTATACAGGTGACAATTCTATGCAATACAATTACAGTAGAATCTGCATTAAGCAGCCACCCAAGGGAATTTTCACAACTGACCGCTTAACGGGAGTGGCCTCTTAATAAAATCTCATTGCTTTTTGTGCTGACATAAATATTAAATTAAATATTACGCTTGGAAGCGGTAAATTTGGCCGTCGCTGAATCTTGCGCCGAACGAAAATTCTTTACTCAAATCTCGGACATAACTTAACGGGAGTGGCCTTTTAATAAAATCTTGGTGCTTTTTGTGCTGACATAAATTAAATATTACGCTTGAATGCATTGGAAGCGGTAAATTTGACCGTCGTTGAATATTGCACTGAACGATAATTCTTTAATCAAATCTCGGACATAACTTAACGGGACTGGCCTTTTAATAAATCTTGGTGCTTTTTGTGCTGACATAAATTAAATATTACGCTTGAATGCATTGGAAGCGGTAAATTTGACCGTCGCTGAATCTTGCGCCGAACGAAAATTCTTTACTCAAATCTCGGACATAACTTCTGTAAACTTGTCATTTTGTACCAACCTTTGATACTACTGTCTACCATTGTGATGCATTCCATAATATTTATCTATTTTTGTGAAGAAAATCGATAAATTCATTTTATTTTATCAAAAAAGCACATGGACAAAAAAAACATCGCTAATTTCATGACCTATTTACAGGGGGTGTAACTCTGTATGTAATATTATAAGAGGCGCTAAGAGAGATACTAGATGATCGTGACAAAACTCGGTACTTTTATTTTATTCAATCAGTATCAAATAATGTGTTGTTACGCGTGAAAACAATGATCAGGTTAGTCGTTTAATAAAACAAAAGATTAATTAACAGATAATCCCGGGTTGATTGTTATTTTTACATTTCTTTTTACCTGATCAGTGGGGGTCCAGTTAATTAACTACTACTCACGGGATTATCGGGGGTGTTACAAAGAACAACAAGATGATATCATTCAACAATAGCCGTTGAATGGGCTATGTTTTGTTGAATTTATTAGTAAAATAGTGACCGCTGGCCGCGTTAGAGGAGTGACCGTTGAATAAAGAGATGAAACAACAGAATTTCTACGGGGGGAATTTATCGTGACCGCTTACAAGGAGATGTCGCTGAATAGGAGTGGCTGCTCATACAGATTCTACTGTACTGCTTATTACTGAGCGACGTTTCGACTCGGCTTCTCTAGCCAAATATAATATACATGTATACAAGAGAATCCTTCTTATTATCACATGAAGAGCACCAAGGAAGCATGATCTAAGTCACTTTTTCAACGAACCCCAGTTAATTGTGCTATCTGGTAGCAAATTGTATAAGCTTTTCTTGGAACAAACAATTTCTGGTAAAAACGATCGGAGTCGCATCGAACCAAGGCCCTTCTGAAATGGCCTACCGGACAAATACAAGTCCATCATATTTATTTGACCTTAATTTGGCTGAGTGGAAGTCAGTTGTTGTACTGGTAATTATGGTTTTGAAGTTGTTATTAAACCCACTAGAGTTCTGTTTGCGTCAGCATTCTCGTCCAAAAGTCTGTTTTGCCTTTTATGCGAAAAGACAAAAATGTGACTTAGATCGTTCTACCCCTGGACTCTTCAAATGTTATTCTGAACTTGACAAGACTTAAAACCCAATTCCATCGTATTTCACACATATCTCCATATTTAATACCGTTTATATTATAGGAGAGTGGTATAGTTATTACTGTTTATTTTATGATCAGTAGTGGAATACCACGTTTTATCAGTGAAATAAAAGTGTTATTCCACTGGCTAGAAGCGGACAAAGTAGTCCATGTTGTTTTTACCTAAAATGATTGTAAAATCATAAAATAAATAGAACATTTGTCGTTTTGTCGTGAATTACATATTTTATTTCATCTCTAAGCAAGAAAACGTTTATATTTTCACTCATGGTACGCATTCGTGAAAATATAAGTTTTCTTGCTTCTTGATGAAATAAAATATGTTATTCATTCTAAAATGACAAATATCCTCTATTTATATTATAGGAGAGTGGTATATTTAATACTGTTTATATTATAGTGGTATCGTTAATACTGTTTATATTATTATAGGAGAGTGGTATAGTTATACGTTTGGGGAAGGTAGCGTTGGTGTAGCTATTGGTCTCGGTGTCCAAGAATCACAAGAAAACTGGCAAAACTCTCAGGATCAAAAAGCGTAAGTTCTACGACCACACCACACACAAAATATATTTTCTGGTTTTCACAAAAATAAAAACCTCACTTCCACATCAGATTGGGAGCTTGGATGGCCGAATGATTAGCGCGTACGCGTTGTATCATAAGGTCTGTCGTTGAGTCAACTGGTTAGCGCCTGTCCAACCTCACAGGTTTTTTTAGACTACTAAAGACCCCTATGTGCAAGCGTATTATTGATGTTAAAGTGAACCATATGTAATTCCCGAAATGACCTATTTTGTGTAGAGTGGACATTAAATCCTCTCTCTCTCTCTCTCTCTCTCACTCTCTCTCCCTCTCTCTCCCTCTCTCTCTCTCCCTCCCTCTCTCTCTCTCTCTCTCTCTCTCTCTCTCACTCCACGTTTGATTGTCTGAAAACCAGAGTATTTTTTATGTGACCTAATGATCTTTTTTATGTTCCCGTCTGCTCAAATACAATTTTTTCTGAATGCTCTGAATCTATATCATGGGTGACCTTTATACCTTTTTCTAGTAATTTACCTCATATGAGATAGATTCACTCTGCAATACCATGTACACATGTTTTGCAATGAGAAAATGTTACCACCGTGGAGAAAAGGTTTTCACCGTGAAAAAATGTTTCCACCCTTTCCACAGTGGAGAAAAGGTATTGCCGAGTGAATCTTTCTCATATGAGGGAAATTATACTAGAAAGAGGTATAAATTAACTTAATGGCACCAATAGGCCACCGTAATTACCAGTCTTTTATATTCCATGGGCCAAATATTATCTGAAAGGAATAATACCATTTTGGGCTGATATTCCTTCTAAAGATTCAACCCATAATATTATAGTTTGTTTGTCTGTTTGCAAGGGATTATCATTCAGAGATTTCTGGTACATTTCACTCAATTAAAGTTGGCGTTATTCCACATTTTGTTTTTTTATTTTTTCAGAGATTCAACAAGCTCAAGTTGTTCTGGTTCTACTGTGATATTAGATTCTCCTAAATCGGAAGAACGACAAGAAAATAATTTTATTTACGGATTTCGTGCAGCGACGTCCCCAGATAATCGTACCCCAAGTAGTGCTATCCAATCGTATGTGCAGGCTCTTTTGGAAGGAGGGGCCTTAAATCGTACAGCCATATCTGAATTAACATCGGACAGTGATGAGACACATAATAATACAAATATAGACGAAAAACCTAAACACTTTTATAAGTTGAAAATGTTACATCAGCGTTTTGTGAAAATAAGATTTGATAGATTAGCTCTACTAGCTGTGTTAGACAGGTAGGTACCAAGATCTTCTTGGGAGGGTTGGATGGCCGAATGGTTAGCACACGCGCACTGTATCAAACGGTCTGTCATTGAGTCAACTGGCGGGGTTTCGATTCCCCAGTTGTACGTGACAAGGAGTAGGGTCATTTGTCCAACCTCGTGGGTTTTCTCCGGGTCCTCCAGTTTCCTCCCAGTGCTAAAGACCCCTATGCACAAAAGAATTATTGAAATAAAATTGAACCATATGTTAGTCCCGAAATGACCTAGTTTGTGTCGAGTGGACGTTAAACCCCGTCTCTCTCTCTCTTCCACTGTTGTGCTTAGACAGACTAAGGAGTGTGGTTGACTAGATGGTTTCTCTTCGTCTCTGGGGATCACGTGGCTAAGTGGGTAAAACGCTAGCTCGCTAGCCTGGAGGTCGGGTGTTCGATCCCTGCATTGGCCGAGAAAGTTCATCCAGATTTTCCGGCGTGGTTCTCCCTTGTCAGTGATGCAGGACGAAGGGGCTGACAAGGAAAGCTGTCTAGTCGTTCGGATGGGACGGAAAACCGAGGTCCCGTGTACACATTGGCGTGCACGTAAAAGATCCCTTGTCAGTTGGAATTCGATATAAGAGTAGGCCGTAGTGCTGCTGTCATTTCATTTCATTTCTCTCCGTCTCTCTGAATTATGAAAATGTGTCCACCATAAGATTTTACCCAGACGTGTTTCAGTTCCTATACGTCAAATCAACGTCAGTTCCTATACGTCAAATCAACGTCAGTTCCTATACGTCAAATTAACGTCAGAGGTGTTTCAGTTCCTATACGTCAAATCAACGTCAGTTCCTATACGTCAAATCAACGTCAGTTCCTATACGTCAAATTAACGTCAGAGGTGTTTCAGTTCCTATACGTCAAATTAACGTCAGTTCCTATATGTCAAATCAACGTCAGTTCCTATACTTCAAATCAACGTCAGAGACAAATGGGGATTTAACGTCCTATTGTCCTGCATCGACTTGGCTAATGAAGACATGCATACACCATACAGTGTGCTATAAGGGAAATGTTGCCCAGGCAGCAGCACTATGGCCTACTCTAATATCAAATTCTAACCGTCAAGGGATCTTTTACGTGCACGCCAATGTATACACAGGTCCTCGGTTTTTTGTCCCACCCGAAGGACTAGACAGCTGTCCTTGTCAGGCCCTCCGTCCTGCACCACTGACAAGGGGAACCAGCGTCGTAAAATCCTGATGAACTTTCTGGGCCAATGCAGTGATTGAACACACCTCCTGGAGAAAGGTAGGCAAGAACGGAACTCATTGCATTAGGTGCTGCCAATTTTAGATAAAATATAAATGTTTACATTCCAGGAACATATCATATATAGAGAACATAATAGCTGTGATAATGGCAGTGGCTGTAGGGGCATTAGGTGCTCTTGTTTTATCATCCCATTTCTATCAGGATTTCTGGATATTTGTTTTCTGTTTTATACTAGCTGGTTGTCAATACTGTCTGCTCAAGGTAAACAAATAATATACGTTTTAAATATTCTCCTGGCTAATGAAGACGGGCATATAATCCTGCAGTGTGCAATGAGGGAAATTTTGCCCAGGCAGCGTGGGGGGTTGAATGGTTAACGTGTACGCGCTGTATCATAAGATCTGGCATTGAGTCAACCCGCGTGAGTTTTCTCCGGGTCCTCCGGTTTCCTCCCACTTCTATAGACCCCCCTACATGCAAGTAAATTATTGAAATATAGTTGAACCATATGTCTTTCTCCGGGTCCTCTGGTTTCCTCCCACTTCTAAAGACCCCCCTACGTGCAAGTAAATTATTGAAATATAGTTGAACCATATGTCAGTCTCGAAATGACCAAGTTTGTGTGGAGTGGAGTTAAACTCTCTCTCTCTCTCTCTCTCTCTCTCTCTCTCATATATTTGTCTGTTTATATTACAGAGTGTACAACCTGATGCTGCATCACCAATGCATGTAAGTTGAGGTCTATTTTATGACCAGTATTTTAAGTAATTTTAGAGCATTGTTTATTAAATTGCCTATTTTTATTGGGCAAAAATAAATAAATGTGCTCGGAACAAGGTGTTTGTTAAACATCTCTTGGAACTGGTAACTCATTGAAATGAAATGAAATGAAATGGGGTTTAACGTCCTACTGTTCTGCTCCTATACTGGGCTAATGAAGACGGGCATACGCCATACAGTGTGCTATGAGGGAAATTTTGCCCGGGCAGTGGCCTTATCGCCTACTCTTATCGAATTCCAACTGCCAGGGGATCTTTTACGTACATTCCAATATATACACGGGACCTCGTTTTTTTGTCTCATCCAAAGGACTAGACAGCTGTCCTTGTCAGGCTCTCCGTCCTGGGTTACTCATTGAACCACTGTGGATCCCTATACTATAGATCAATTGTTAAAGATGCATAATGTAGAAGCTAAATTTGCCTATTGCCGGTCTTTCTTTGACTTCAAATAAAAATGATTAATTAGACATTTATTAACGTGACAAGCCCATAATCAACTCTTTAAACCATCATATGGTTGTGATATTGGATGAATTAAAACACCCTCTTCATTTAATAATTTGACTTTGTTTATTATTGTTACAATAGTACTTGACAATCGAGACTATATACTCAAAACACTTGTAACTTCACTCAGAATCAAGTAAATTGAATGGAATTTTTTAAAATATTCATTTTGCATTATCAATTTTTGAACTATTATTGCAAGAACAGCCAGCTCTTTATCTAAATCTTACAGAATTAACTTTTAGATGTTTGTCATGGATAATACTATTATAGCCAGAACGGCCAGATAATGAATTTTTAGATGTTTGTCATGGATACTAATGACTGTAATTTGTGTTTTTTCAGGGTTACAATCGAATGATTGTTTTTAGCCGTCCATTTTATTTTTGTGTATTCTGTGGCCTCATCTTGTTGTTAGATTATTTGAGTAAAATAGTTGGTAATGAGACTCTAACTCTTTACGGAAGGCCTTTTTCTGTTCTGTCTTCGTTGACGTTTACCAGGGATCTTCTCAAAGGTAAGTTTACACAACTCGTTGTTTAGATTCTGATCTTGACCGTTCAGTTCTGACTCTGTTTAAGATAGTGTTTTCTGACGACTGGGTGTTCTCCGAGACATAGGTATCTTTAAGGGGTCTAAAAGCAAGGGGAACAATGTTTCAAGAGGTCGACTACTGGGTGTTCTCCGAGTCTAGGTATCTTCAAGGGGTCTATAAGCAAGGGGAACAATGTCTGAAGAGATCGACGACTGGGTGTTCTCCTAGTCATAGGTATCTTCAATGGGAACAATATCTGAAGAGATCGACTACTGGGTGTTCTCCGAGTCTAGGTATCTTCAAGGGGTCTATAAGCAAGGGGAACAATGTCTGAAGAGATCGACGACTGGGTGTTCTCCAAGTCATAGGTATCTTCAAGGGGAACAATATCTGAAGAGATCGACTACTGGGTGTTCTCCGAGTCTAGGTATCTTCAAGGGGTCTAAAAACAAGGGGAACAATGTCTCAAGAGATCTGTAAATGGAAAAGGGTTTAAAAGTTTGTGGAACGATATCTCAAGAGATCTGTGAATGGAAAAGGGTCTAAAAGTTTGTGGAACTATATCTCAAGAGATCTGTGAATGGAAAAGGGCTAGGAACCACGTGGGTAAGGGTCTAAAAATTACATAGGCCTAAGTATTGTCTGGGAAAATGTTTTGATTTACATGCGAACCTGAAATATTATTCCTTTTCTTACATTTCCATATTTTCAAACAGAGTTGAAATAGTTCCAAAATAATAGATCTAGTTGTATTTGAGAAAATATCAGGAACTAATAATCAAATAAGTACTGGATGAAATAACAGTTATTAGAGAGGTTGTACCTGACAAAGTCTGAATTTGTGCCCGATATTGTCTGTGACAGGTGTCTTATTTCCACACCTGGATGGTCTGACACATGTACTTTAGATCATAAGATCTGTCATTGAGTCAAGTGGCGTT